GTTTTGGACACAGCCAGTATCTCATAATTATGACTTAGCTATCTCATGAGATAGGTAAGTCATAATTATGAGATAGTATCTCATAATTATGAGATAGCTAAGTCATAATTATGAGATAGCTAAGTCATAATTATGAGATAGATAAGTCATAATTATGAGATACAAGTTTTATTTTTTTATCAGGGTGGCGGAAATGGGCTTCCACAGTTCTCTGTGGCTGCTGTAAAAACAGAACAACTATCGTCCATTGAGGAAGTGGGCGGAGCTTCACCTCGGGTTGCCTCGGAGCAGGACTCTGATTTGGGTCGCTAGGTGACTGTTATTGTGACGTCAGAATAACGTATTTTTTTCTTATTTCAAGAATTTTACGAAGTGCAATTGTCTTACTCAATTGGCAGATTTTTTAAAACTTAATTTAAGTAAAATTTCCAGTCTAACAAAAATAAATAATCTTACATGTTCTGTTCTTGTTTTATAAATCACAACACTTACTGTGTCAAGAAACCTGGCTGTGCCAACCATCCCGGGTTGGAAACAGGCTAAGTAAACCTTTCCTTTGACCTTTGCTGCCACCATGTTGTCACAAATCACATGGGCGACAATGAAATGTCATGGATTATCATTCCCATTTTTTTCCCTGTATGTTTTTCAGCACGTTACTCAGTCCACAATAGACCATTTTGAAGTTAGAAATTATCACAAATGCACAAAGTGGGCCGACCTCACATTTATTGGGAAAAGGCTGAGGTTGCTAAGAAAACGCCATTGTAATTACATAAATTCCAATGGCGTTTTCATAGCAACCTCAGCTTTTACCCGTTGACCTTTGACCTGGAAGAGCTTGGCTCTGCTATGCATGTTTATGAGTAATTTCTAATTACAGAATGGTCTATTTTTGTGCTATTTCAACAAAACATGCATCAAAATGTTTTTGGTATCGCAGCAACATATATTTAGCTTTTCTGACTATTTTTTATCACACTGAAAATAATGTATGTTTTTTCAAAATTCTTTAGCTTTAGTGCACAATTTATGTTTATTCTGGTTCCGCTTACTTCAACTTGTTTTTTGCTAATTTTATATTTTTTTCTGATTTTCAGTCATTCTTCTGCTCCTTGCAGCCATTCTTCTGCTAATTTAAACTTTTGTTAGATTTCTCTTTTTAGCTGATTTTTGTAAGTTTCAGCTGTTTTCTGCCTTTTTAGTCATTTTATCGCCTTTTAGCTAATTTTCACCATTTTGTGATCATTTTAGCTTCTTACTTGCTAACTCAGAAAACATGCTTTTTGCATACCTTTGAACTGCTTTCAGCTTTTTCATCTACTTTTGAACTATTTTTCTGCTAATTTTGGCTGCTTTAGATGTTTTATAGACCCCAAGATACTTGAACTCCTCCATTTGAGGCAGAACTTCACCCCCAGAGAGCAATCCATCTTTTTCTGACTGAGGACCATTGACTCAGATTTGGAGGTGCTGATCCTCATCCCAGCCACTTCACACTCAGCTGCGAACCGCTCCAGTGAGAACTGAAGATCCTGGCACGATAACGCCAACAGAACCACATCATCTGCAAACAGCAGTGATGAAATCCTGAGGCCACCGAACAGGACTCCCTAAGCCCCCTTCCTTGGCTGTACCTAAAAATTCTGTCCATAAAAGTTATGAACAGAATAGGTGACAATGGGCAGCCCTGGCGGAGTCCAACTCCCACTCTGAAGGGGTCTGACTTACTACCTGCAATGCAAACCAAACTCTCGCACCGCTTGTATAGAGACTGAATGGCCCGTAACAACGGACCCATAATCCTATACTCGCGTAGCACCCCCCACAGTGTACCTCGAGGAACACAGTCAAATGCCTTCTCCAAGTCCACAAAACACATGTAGACTGGATTAGCAAACTCCCATGACACCTCGAGGACCCTAGTGAGGGTAAAGAGTTGGTCCAGTGTTTCACAACCAGGACAGAACTCGCATTGTTCCTCCAGAATCTGATGTTTGACTATCTATCGGACTCTCTTCTCCAGTACCCCTGAAAAAAACCTTATTGGGGAGGCTAAGGAGAGTAATGTCCCTGTAATTGGAGCACACCCACCAGTCCACCTTTTTAAAGAGAGGAACCACCATCCCAATCTGCCAGTCCAGTGGCACTGCCCCCGATGTCCATGCAATGTAGCAAAGGTGTGTCAACCAGGATAGCCCCACAATATCCAGAGCCTTGAAGAAATCAGGGTGGATCTCATCCACCCCTAGAGCCCTACCACCATGAAGCTTTTTAACTACCTCAGCAACCTCGGTTCCAGTTATGGACAGACTAGCCCCAAAGTGCTCAGACTCTGCTTCCTACATAGAAAGTGGGATTGAGAAGGTCTGAGAAGTATTCCTTCCCCCTTCCGACGACATCACTGGTTGAAGTCAACAGCACCCCACCTTCACTGAGCACAGCTGCTTCTCCCACCTCAGCCGCCGGATGGGTTGTCAGAATCTCCTCGGAGCCAATCGAGTTTCTTTGTACAAGGCCTCACCAAACTCCTCCCACATCCAAGCTTTTGCCTCAGCAACAGCCAGGGCTGTGGCTCGTTTGGCCTGGCGACACTCCTCAGCTGCCTCCAGAGTCCTACCAGCTAACAAGGCCAGATAGGACTCCTTCTTAAGCTTGACAGCCTCCCTTCCCTGATGTGTACACCGCCGAGTTCGAGGATGGCTACTGCGAGAAACACCAATAACCTTGCGGCCACAGCTCAAGGCAGCCACTTCAACATTTGAGGTGTGGAATACGGCCCACTCAGACTCAATGTCCCCCGCCTCGACTGGGATGTGGTTGAAGTTCAACGGCATCATGCACCCGACTCATACAGCCCCTCCTGCAGGTGGTGGGTCCACAGGAAGGCAAACCCATGTAGCTCATTCGGGCTGAGAACAATCTGCCATGGGAGACCCTACCAGGGGCAATTGAAATTGCCCTTGACCGCACAGCTCCTAGAATCATTCAGGTACACAAACTCCTCCACCACAATAAGGTGATGATTCAATGGAGGAGGAGTAGCTAAAAGCAATCCCCACCACATGCTGAAAGCTAATTAGCTATTTAAGATGGCTAACAAAGCTAAAACAAGCTGGTGCTCTGCAACCATGTAACATAGGAATGTTGAACTTCACAGATAAACACGTTGTGGGCCAACAATAATTCTTATTCTTATTGTTAGAATCATAGGGTCAAAGGTTAAGGTCAAAGGTCACCCATTTATTTAGATAGCTCTAATTTGATACCCATTCATCTTAAAATGGCAAACTTCACAGATAAACATGTTGTGAGCTAATAATTATTTTTACTGATTTCAGGGTCAGACATTTTTACTTTTAAACATTTTTTTCAAAAATCTTTCAGCATTAAACATTGACACAACATTTTCACAGGAAATTTTCTGGTTTACTTTTAAATTGTTGTAAATGTCTTATTTTGACTTACGTTGACTCAGTAGCCTCAGTGACAACAGGGATTTCCCCAGTTTAATTAACAGTGGCCTAGATATGAGTTCTGTGTTGTGGAGTTGGACACAGGAATGTGGGAACATAGAGACCTAGAGTGCAGGCTGGCACTGCAGGAACCACTGAAATGATAAATGAAATAAACTCAGATGTGCTCAGACAGTCTTACAGAGAAAAATAAGATATTGTACCAAAACTGATCAGATACAATCTAACTTCATGACAGATCTTTGCTGCCTGAAACCAAAGAAACCAGAACAGGACTTTACCATTCAAAAGAAACTGGATGGGTATCTTGCTGATAGTACTGCTGGGAGTTTTCACCTCCTGTGCACCGTTGGTGTGAGTCAGAGTGATGGTCTGACTGGGAAAGTCCTTCATCACCACCTGGACAACATAGAAAACTTGACTACTGTTTAAAGTCGGGCTGAACGACAAAGTGCTGGACTGCAAGAGGACAGAGAGAAAACTAGTTATTTATGAGATAAAGCATGCCATGACAAATAAAAAAACAATGTGGTTTGGAAAAAAAAGAACCACAGTTTAAAATAGAAATTGATTGTTTTGGGAACTAATTTGAAGTCGTTACTCATTGATGAGAGGCTGAGGACAGACGGTGGTGTGCAGGGGTTACACTCCAACAATGCATCATTTCACTGATGTTTAACGTTTAGTAATGGTCGTTTAACGCACCCTTCCTACACCCACTAGCCTGGGGCAAGCATGCGGCACCCACAACCACGGTAGTCTGAACCAGGAGACAACATCTCACTGAGGTAGGGGGGAAAAGCCCCCTTTATACAACCACGGCAAGCTCCCCAGCCAATAAGAAACAGGCATTTGTGTGGTGCGTTCAAAGCCTACTGGGCATACAGCCACACCAAGTTGCTTATAGTTTTTGACAAAATCAATCTCAGTACTATTCAAAGAAGATCATTTAAAGGGGCTCTCGACTTGTGGTAGGTTTCTTTTAAAACCATGCATTTAGTTTTGTCCGTGTTCAGAACCAAATGCAGACTAGCAAAATACTGTTCAAGTGAAGTGAAACTAGTCTGCAGTGAAGACAGAGCAGTAGTCAGGCATGGGCTAGAAGAGTAGATGATGGTGTCATCTGCATATGTATGAACATGAGAGTCACCTACTGCAAGAGGGATATTATTGATGTAAATATTGAAAAGAGTAGGTCCTACAATGCTTCATTGAGGGACACCATTTGCTAGAGTCAGAGGATCAGACAGAAAACCACCGACCTTTACTGACTGCAGACGGTGTTTTAAGTTTACCAGTGAACACAGTTGAGAACTTTCAACATGGCAAGAGTTCAGTCATTACAGTGTAATGTGTCATCAATGGTGTTCTTGGAGACTGTAGTTCAAACTGTTTTCAGATGATTTACAATTTCTGGAATGAATCTTTACCTCCACACTAAAGATGACTGACGTTCTTTTATTGCTGAACAACAGCAACAACGTTCTCACCAATGCTACCATTCTGACACTTTTGTTATTTTGGCTCTTACAGGATCTTAGAAGCTAAGTTATGTAAATGTTACTTTGAAATATTTGGAATCATTTTTACCAAATGGAGAGAGAGAGAGAGAGAGAGAGAGAGAGAGAGAGAGAGAGAGAG